CAATAATTTAAGGCATCATTATTTTTCAAATGGATAAAACACAGCTATTTCCCTGTGAACTCAGGTGCAAATAGACCATTTCAATTTTGTATTAACCTGTCCCCCCCAACTAGAAAAGAATTACTAAGACATAATAGTTTCCTTTGGTTTTTTGCTTGCCTCTTCTCATCCGAGAAGTGCCCTAATTAATTTCCTGCCAAAATATCTCCCTCATTTTCCTTCCTCTCAGTCCCAAACCCTTCTAAGAAAGCTTCTCCGTCAAGATTAGAAGAGCCCATCCTGGACAACTCCAGAGTGGGAGAGTCAAGAGTTGAAGGGCAGCAGGGGAGGAAACATTTTAAATTTTTGTCAACCTGATAGCAAAAGACTAGGCATAGAATCTATGTCTGAGCTGTCTTTTTTAAGTAGGCTAATGCAAAGAGAACCTGTTCAGAAAAAGCTCTGAAAGAGAAATTAATAACCCTATTGATTTTCCATCACTGGAGCCATCATTTTGAATGCAATATGAAGCTGCAGTGAATGAAGCTACTCAAGCCCCTGTACAGCTATGACAGGCAGCTGCTCAGACAGCATTCTAATGCAAGCATAACAAAGATTCCCCAATGTCTTACATGAGCCAAAACATACTCCGTTTTCAAAGCCATATACTTTGTCTGGAAGGCAGGAACTGGGGTAGTTGGTTTTGTTCCTTACCAAGAAGGCAGGAACTGTAGCACCGGAAAGTGAAAGGCACCCTGGGGACTCTGCCTCTTTACCTGACTTACCTCCATGTACCTCTGGTCAAGAAGGAACCTCCGAGGACTATAACCAATTTTTACAGTTAACTAATTACCTCAGTACCATCAGTCCAGCCCTCTGCTACAGTGGGTAGGAAGGAAGACTGACCACCATCTCTACAAATAATCATCAACCCCAAAATAAGGATTTAAGTGTCCTAAAAAGCGAATCATTATATTTCTCCACTTTTCATCTCATGCGCTACACTAGGTGCTGCTTGGAGTCTTTGTTTCGGCTTTGAATGAGATCACCAGGCACTCATTACTGATTTTCAGTGCAGTGGAGAACAGTTTGCATCCACCAATATTCTCCTGAGAAACTGTAGTCCATACCACATCCAACTAGCACAAAGACCTCAGAAAGTTCAGCCCTAAAGATTTTCTGGAGCTAAAAATGCCACTGTCGAGAGGCCACTTCTCAGCACCATTTTCATTCTCCTCTAACTTTTTTTTCCACGGCAACTGAAAACAGCCATAAAATGGCATGCCAAGAGGCTTCTTGTTCTATTAGCACTCTCTGTCAGACCCTACAAGGGCTCATCACAGACTCCAGAGAGCAGGGACACAGAGTCATGTAAATATGAAGCCAGTTTTCTCCTTAGCTCTTTGCATATTAGATAGCCAAGGACTCTATAACATAGACCTGAAAAAAGTCATTCTTAAAAAGGTCATAAATGTAGTCTGGCAGATCATTCCTCCTCCTGTGCTCAAGGATCTCTTGCTCTCTGCTTCCTGGAAGACTGCTTTATGGAGCCAACAGTAAGAGTGCTGCCAGGTATCATCTTGCTGTCACAGTTATATTCAATAGCAGGAAAAAAAGCATAATGAATTTTGCACTGTTTGGTCTGGTTAAGATCATCAGAACTTTTTCAGTCAACTTAATCAACAATAAGGGAACCACACTATTTCCACTTGTGTGTAGGTGCCAGAAATACCACAGTGCTTACATAACACCTCACTCATACAAACAGCTTTCTTGCAAGGGGTCATTTTCCATTTTCTAGGTTGCTCACTGATTTTAGTTTTAAAAACACGAAACAACAGCCCTATACTACACACTTTACGCAAAAGTATTCTTACAATTTCTTTTCCTTATGGAATATGCTTCTCTTAATTTCTAATGGTTTTCAGTATCTTAAAAATAATACAGGACAGATGGAGATAGGCAGCAATTTCAAGATAGTTTCTGCCCTGGATATGAAACTACATGAGAGTATACTCTAAAAACACATTTTGGCATGTAATTCAACACAGAAAGGCCTGTTCTGTGCACCATTGGTTCCTGGTTATATATTTTACTACTGTAGGAGCTTCCTGCATGCCAGTGATGTGGCAGAATTCATCTCCTGCAGAAGCAAAAGCTTAAGGCCTTATTTTCTTGGAGAGGATATAATTCAGATGACTGCACACAGGGGCCCTACCCTCTATCTCATCCTCTGTCTTCCAAAATAAAAAAGTTTGGAAGGCACTGGGAGAGAATCTTTTAAGACACTTTTTCTTTGATAAAACAGTTCCCTGTTTGTTCTACACCTTGCATATTTCTGACCTTCAATGTAAACTTGAGGGGAAAAAAATAATAATATAACACGATTTTCAGCACTAGAAGACAGAATCACTCACAGTAATCTTGATGTTGCAGAAATTAGCATTCCAGGAACTGAGGAGACTAGACACAACTGGGCCAAACTGATTCAGTGGCTTCACTCATGGAGAGATGTATGTATAGTGATCTGCAAAAACCTGTTCCTCTTTGTGAGCAGCACTAATACTCTTGAAATAACATAAGAACATTCGGCAGGAAACCAGTTCTAACTAACATCACTGATACAAAACAAAACCTTCCCAAGGTGCAAGTCCACTTTAACCTGACAATTTTGCTGGGCTATCAGTAGCAAGTCACCAGTGTGACAGACAGCCCTTTTCATCAAACCCCTACAAACTGCACAGTAATCAGACTGAATTTCCTGCACCAAAATCATCCTCCTGCTTGAAATGCCAAAGGTACCACTTACCTGGAACCTGTGAACCAACTCCAGCGACTGGCTGTCATTCTGGTCTGCTTCAAGGATTACATCCGTCAGTTTATGAATGATCACGTCCAAAGGCCCCTGATCTTCAATGGGTTTGGTGAGGTCAAGCTGAAGAAAACAGAGAGAAACATTTTATTAATATTTGGGGGATCCAAGCTCTTGTCCCTGCCACCATCCAAGGTGTTGCTGCCTCACAGATGACATTTACTTTATACAGTGCCTTTGTTCTGGTATGTTATCTAAATCCCTGAGAACTGACATACCATTGAATGTTAGAAAACTTTACTTAGACACTTATTTCTCAGCAGTGCGGCTCTAATTCCATGAAAAACAGTGAAGTCACCAGCAAGTACCCTCCATCCAAACATCTTCCTGTGCTTCTCCACCCTAAACAAACACATGGCTCTTCAGCTCAATTTCCCAGTATGTTCACATGGTTTCCTGGTACATTCACATACATGCAAAAGGAATGAGCTAACAAGGACTAACATCACTAATAAAAGGAAGGTTTGCTGTGCCCTTTGCCCATTGGGATTGCACAAAACAGCACCCAGGACTGGAATAAAGGTAGCACAAAAGCAAGTGACTCAGGATCTGTGGATCTAGGATCTGCTACTGAGACAGCTATTCAGCTGGTAAGGAGGGGTTCAGCTCCCAGACAACTCCCAATAGCAGACTTTGGCATTTAGCTAGGTAGGAGACAGATTTGGGGTGGGGTGTACAGAAAGTCTGGTAAAGACAACCCAGGAAGGCATGAAAACAGTGGCAATGCGTTAGACGACTTGGTTCCAGTACCAAAACAGAGTTCAAGAGCAGAGGATTGAGGAATTCTCTCTTGATGAAATATCAATGCAAAGAAGCCTACTGGACCTGTATGAGATGCATGCAAGGATCCTAAGAGAGCTGGCCAGTGTTATTGTGAGGGCTTGGATTTATCAGGATATAATTCAAAACTACGGAGATTCCAACTAAATCAGGCAAAAATAAATCTACTACACAGGCAGTCTGGTTACAGCAAAGTCTCACAGAGGTGGCAGGATTTATCAAGATTTTCAACACCTGACTGGGCAAAGCCCTAAGCAACTTAGTATAAATTTAATGCCAAATCTTCTTTGATGAAGATGATGTATTGCAGACCCTTAAGATGCTCACAGAACATAACGATCCCATTAAGCTATTTACCAAATTTAACATGAGTTCAATGTAAGTACCAGAACTGGTTCATATTCTAGCCAAGTCACCGGGCTGCTCAAGGCACAGAAGCTGTGAGATTCGATTCAACTAGTTGTGAGACCTACTGCATCACCGGCGACTTAACCTTGTAAATGTCAAACCAGGAACTTCTTTGAGAGGAAAGATGGATGTGTACTCACTAAAGTTAGCATCTGATTTTACCTGCATGATACTTTCTATTACTGCTTTCTTTTTAATTCAACTCTGGTAAAGACGGGTGTGAGAGGCACAGGAGGGAGACAAGTACTGGGCAGAACAGGCTGCTGCTGATGCCATTTTCTGTCTCATTAGCTTGAGTTTTGTCCTACTAAAATTTTCCACCCTACAGAAATGGCCCTGCTTTGAATTAAGGAGTGAATGCCTTAAAGAAGATAAAGACAGAAACAAACCTGTAAAACTAAAACAGCAGAAATCTATCAGCCTTATATTAATCTGCTAGTTGCTAATGTAACCGACCCACAGAGCTGAATGATCCTTCTTGCATAGGCACTCTCATCTGGACTAGGCTTCCTTGAGCAGCATAACTGAAGGTACCTATGGCACAAAAGCAAATTGAAAGACTGTGAATTCCTCCCTCAGAGACCACCGTTGCTTGCCCATTACTATATGCTCCTACTAACAGTTATGGGTTGGGGCCCTTTGAAGTCTTTATGCAGATTCAAATACAACTGGAAAACACAGTGTGTGTCTCTCTTCCAAGGAGACAAGCAGAAGAGACCGCTAGCAGTAGTCTGTGGGTGTCCACAGTGGGCAGCACTCCCTACAAGCAAAGAGACCAACAGGACAGACTTGGTGTGGATGCTCAGAGATGGGTAAGCTGTGGCCAGGTGAGGCAGTCCACAGAAGGTCTGCCTGTCCTGACATATTTTCACTCTCACAAGTAGTGCAGCATGAAGGCTAGGGGACAGCCTAAGTATCTGCAAAAAAAGGCAAAATGAAGTGAACTGCAGCTTGCCTAAAGGACACAGAAAGCAATAATTAACTTCTTCAACCAAGCTTCAGCAAAAGTAGTTAAAAGAAATCTCAGATGACCATGATGATACTTCTGATTTTTTCCATCTGCCTGTCACATCTGGAAGGAAACAGCAAAACAAAGGGTCCATTTAACTAGGTCAGAAAGTTCATGGTTGCCAAGGTACAAAATTCTGAATTAATCCATTTTCAGGACTTACAGTCTGAAAAGCAGTAAGAAGCAAGTAAGTACTTGAGATTGGTTACCCCTCTACATTCTTCCTGAACTTTCAGCTCAATCTGCACAGAAACGTTCAGAAAACAAGAAAACAGTCCTCTCTTTCAGCCTTGGCACTGACAAGAATAGAAGTAAGCCTTCAAGGCAAATCCAGGCATTTCCAGCACTGTGTTTTCCACAAGCATTAGACATCTGGGCAAGATAACTTCACAACAGTTGTGCCAGCTAAACGCAACAGGCATATTTTGAGAACGAAACCAAATGCACGTACTTTGCACACTGGAAAGCATTAAAAAGACTCCCCCCTAACACTGTTTTGCTTCCCTTTTACCAGTAAAGCAATGTGAGAAACGACAGCATGATAAAGCAGCTACTCTGGAAGAAAGTTCAGTGACCACTTCAATTGCCTCAACAAGGACAGCAGGTACATTTCAGCCACAAAAACCTTCAAAAGCTGATCCAGTATTTTGTGGATTGGAGGATCAAACCATTTACAAGAATAAGTTCTCTGTGTTTAGAGTCATGCTGCAGAAAGCAAATATTCCTGGGCTGCATGGAATTTGGAAGAGGTCCACCTTCCTTTTATGCACTAAGAAAAAAAAGTAAAAGTAGAAGGAAAAAAAAGACTTGAGAAGGTAAAAAGAAGCCTTTTCAAGTGGAGCATCAGACCCAAAAAGAAGTCAGTGAAAGTAAAGTGCAAAATTTCTGATGGCCCTCTGCTGTGACAAACACTGATTCATTGTTTGTCATCAGCTGGAATCTGTGCCCTCCTACTTCCCTTCCCTTTCAGCATCTCTCTCTCTGAATGATCTCTGCATTTGACATGATCACCCAAAGGTTTGTTATTGCAAAGAGCTAACACCATAGCAACAGAAATGAGAGAAAAGATTTATCAGCACCAGCTTGAAAAAACAGATACATCTATGGTGCCTTTTCTGCTATGAGATAAACTATAGCCTGCAACATACTCTGCTTGCCCTTCTTCATGTTAAAAAAACAAACCCAACCAGGTATTGGCTTCATGGCATTGTCACTTATCACCCAGCAAAACTCAGGTGAATGACATGGAAGAGAGTATCAACACTGTACACAGTAAATATGCAAGGCATATACGTGTGACACAGACTGGTGCACTGTCTCTGAGTAAAAAAATGGATGGACAGCCAGGCCCAGAGAGTGCTAGTGGTGAACAGAGTTAAATCCAGTGGGCAACTGGTCACACCTGGTGTTTACCAGTGCTCAGTATTGGTGCCAGTGCTGTTCTATGTCATTGTCAATGATCTGGACAAGGGCATTAAGTGAACCCTCAGTTTGAAATTCAAACCAGGCTAGGCAGGAATGTTGATCTGCTGGAGGGCAGGAAGGTGATCTGGACAGGCTGGATCCAAGGGCCAAGACCAACTCTATGAGGTCAACAAAGCCAAGGGCCAGGTCCTGCACTTGGGCCACTCACAACAGCCCCACACAGCACTACAGGCTGGGGGCAGAGTGGCTGGAAAGCTGCCTGGTGGAAAAGGACCTGGGGGTGCCATTTGACAGCAGCTGAACATGAGCCAGCTGTGCCCAGGTGTGGCCAGGAAGGCCAATGGCATCCTGGCCTGTGCCAGCAGCAGTGTGGCCAGCAGGAGCAGGGCAGGGATTGTCCCCCTGTACCCAGCACTGCTGAGGCCATACCTCAAATCCTGTGTTCACTTCTGGGCCCCTCAAGACAAGAAAGACACTGAGGGGCTGGAGTGTGTCCAGAGAAGGGCAACAGAGCTGGGGAAGGGTCTGGAGCACAGCTCTGATGAGGAGTGGCTGAGGGAACTGGGGTTGTTTAGCCTGGAGGAAAGAGGCTGAGGAGGGACCAGATTGCTCTCTACACCCCCTGAAAAGAAGCTGTAGCCAGGTGAGTGTTGGTCTGTTCTCCCAAGTAACAAGTGATAAGACATGGGGAAATGTTCTAAAACTGCACCAGGGGAGATTTATATTGGATCTTAAGAAAAATTTGTTCACTGGAAGAAGTCAATCAATAGAACAGGTTGCCCCAGGAAGTGGTGGAGTCACCATCCTTGGAGGTATCTAAAAGACATGTAAATGTGGCACTTGGGAATGTGGTTTATTGGTTGACTTGGCAGTGCAGGGTTAACAGCCAGACTTGATTTTAAGGGTCTTTTCCAATCAAAATGATTATAGAGTTCTGTATGCTTTTCCTGGTCCTTCAAGTCCATATATGGAAGAAACCAACCAGTAGATAAATGCTCTTATCATAGCTGGCTGCAGCCAGCCTGCCCACCTTTTAATAGAAGGATGGGCTGAAAGTTACAAAACACTCCAAGCTTAGAAACGACAGTCTCTCCCACAGGCTTCCCAGAGAATCCACTGGAAAGCAAGCTACAGGCACGCAGAGCTCCATCTCTGCCCTCCTCTCCCCTTCCCCCTTCCTCTGTCCTCCAGAAACACACAGCCAGCACATTATCCAAATCATTATAGAGAAGGGCAAAAAATGTTTATTTCCATTAAGCATAATTTGTTTAAAGTTTTGGGGTTGTTTTTCTCCAGAACCCTGGCAATCCATCTGTATTGCAGGGACAGGGCGAGTGCCTGGCAGAATGCCATGGCTCTCCACTGCTCCCAACTGCAATCCCACACAAATGCATTTCTGGAAGCCGTGTATAAAAATAAAACTATGTCCAAGTGGAGAAAATCTGGATTTGTTCACTCAGGGGAAAAAAAAATAACCAAGCCAAACAACTACAAATGCTGGATTTAGGAAAAAGAAATATAATTTATAATAATGATTAAAAATAGTTGTGTATTTTTTGTTTTATTCAGTGTTTCCAGTCCATGGTATAATCAGCTGTATTTCAGAATCTGCATGATTAGGATTTGTGATTTTGATTTATTTTTTAAAGCTCTTCTTCCAAAATAGTTTTTGGATTAGCATTCACATGAAATGAAGTTTTAATACCAACCTGTTCTTTTATCTGAACCAAAGAGAGTAATGTCCACTGCTATATCCCTGAGAAATGTAGAGTCTACATTTCTATTTAGCCTCACTTTTCTCTTATTATATTTTCATTAAAAGTAAAGACCCATACAGCTATTCTGCAAATATTTTGCTCCCATTCTCCAACCCACTAACAAACTCCAGGATGCTGCTCTAAGTTATTGCTGTTTTCATTCGATGTGATGCTAAGAAAGCAGCGTTCTAGGATGTGCATCCTAGAACTGGAGTGTATCTCCCTTCACAGCAGCCTGTCATGCTGCAGGTAGAAAATGTCTGTTAAACTTTCAGAAGTTTACCAGAAAAGGTAAATTAAGGTAGAAAGAAAATCAGAAATCTAAGCTTTCTCAGTAGGCAGATTGCACCAAATCATCAGACATTAACTCAAGTGCTAGAAAACTTCATAAAATGCTGCAAAAGTGAAAGATTCCATTCAACTTTCTGGTAGGGACCTGTCAATGGTGTGCTACACATTTCACAAATCACAGTCCAAATGTCCCTTTGTGATAATCTAGCCACTCTCCTCCCTGTGAACTGGACATACATCTTCAGCCTGACCCGACTTCTTTGCTCCTTGATTCCTGAGACTGTATATGGAATTTTCTAGATGAATCTATTGTATTCTGCTATTCTCTGCTAAGGCTGTATTGGTCCCAAGACATGTGGGCTTTATTTCAATCTTAATTCAGCTTCTTAAACTTCACTGCATGAAAACCTTTGGGATTTTAGCCCTTATCTTCCACTCCTGGTGCTATTTTCTATCCTGTATTTTCATCACATACATTTATATGAAAAGGCTTGTAAAATAAAGCTTTTCAAATTCTTCTTCCACCCCCAGTGTTTACCTGTGCTGTGCATCAATGCTGAGCAAATCACAATGAAAAAGTCACAAGCTCCAGATGAGAAAGCCAAGTCTTCACAAAGCTGAACTCTGACAGCTGATCTATTGATGGACACTGCTCTCTCCCAAAAAGCTTGAAGAAAGCATCTAAAAATATCTTAAGCGCTTTGGAGATGGAAGGGAAACAGCAAAAATCAATACTGTCAAGTTCATTGTTACACTCTACTGTAAAATGTAAACAAAAATACACATGATATTCTAATTACAGGAGAGAATGTGCTTGCTCTTGAAAGAAAGTGAAAAAATTCCTGAAGGAAATCAGGAAAACAGTTGTGCATGTCCATCCATACATATAAGAACTACTTGTGCACAGAAACAGAACAGAATGGCACAGAAGCCTGACTGCTCTTGGGACAAACCAAGGGAAATCCATATGAAAAGTAAGACCAACACATGCTTCTTTCATGAATTAAATCCTTCAGGAGCAGTCCACTCCTGTCCTGTCCCTCCAGGGACTATACACTCAAAAAAGAAGCTGTCAAGTCTGTGCTGCAGAAAACTGACACAAATGACCCCCAGCCAAAGCCCATGGAAGATAACAAAGTATATATCACAAAACACTTCCTCAGGAGGAAAGACATTATGCTACCTGGCATATTTCAGTAGTATACAGGCTCCTTGTAGCTCCTAAAACACCTATATATTGTAACTAAATAAATATTTGTGTATTTAGGAGATTTTCTCCTCATCTCTTTCTCTCAGAAAAAAAAGTTATCTGGGCTTTCATCACACCCAGATAGTGCAGAAGTATTCGGCACTTGTTGCTGCTGCTAATGGGGCCAAAGGATACCAAAGGAGAACATGAACTCCTCCCTAGGAAACAAACACCAGCTCTGTCCCATTGCAAAGGGCAAACAGGGACCTGACCATCAAAGACTGTCAAGAAAGAGCAAAACATTCACCAGGAGGTGCTGGTCTGTCTCTCCACGCCACCCTTGCCCAGCACTGCGTTAACCTGCACATCCTGTTGCAGCAGCAGCAAACTGAGAAAGGAAATCCGCTGCGGTGAGGAGACCTCCCCCCTCACACTGATGAGAGGAGAGGGCATCGCTAACAGCCACCACCTCACATGAGAACTCTCCCAAGCAGGAAGGAAACACCTTGAAAATACCCTACCTTCTTCCTGGTCTTTTTGAAATCACGGAAGCTGAAGGCTGACCAAAGAGCTTACCCTTCTACCACTGCAGGACACTAGAGTTACCTGCTGTTGTTCTGCCCAGATTAGTTTAACAGAACCACCAAAGGAGAAGGAAAGCAAGACCCACACTATGATACGTCATGCAGACTCTCGGGCAAATATCAGCGACATCCCAGGCATCAAGACATGCCTAAAGATGAGGAGCAGCACAACAGCCTATGAAGCTGGGTTCCCATTTTCCCAGATACTGAAATTTGAACACTAGGGAAAATTCGGGGTTTAACAGATGGTTTCTTAGTGTTTTCTTGCATTCTTATGTTTTATTTGCATTCTGCCTGAGAGTATGTGTGACCATTTTGCACATTTTCAGGAGCTGCATGCAGCTGCCACTCTGGAAGCTTGGTATGACGTCTGAAACATCTGGGAAGTTCTCACTTCTAGCTGTATTCTAGATAAAATGAAGGAAAAGAAAGTTCATAGGGTTTTTTTACACTACATATGCTAACAGACACCATTTATGGATCACTTCTCCAACTACTACACAAACTGACTAGTCCCTGTACATTCAAGGCTTGTCCCCAAGTAACGCAATCCCCCAGGACCTTGGTGAGCATCACCTTCCCACAGCCTCCTCTGCCCCCTCCCACAAAAGCAAAGAGTGAGGCAGCACTGCTCTTGCCTGTGCAGTAACACTGGGATAAGATAATGCACCCCAGTTACTCAAACCTCTCCCACTCTTCCCCTCACTTCCCTCCTTACTCTGGTATACCTGGTATACATATTTCCACAGAGCATCATCCTCCTCTTAGTGCTAAGTTTTTCCGCTTTCACTTCTTTAAAAGCAAGACAAGAAATCCCATGTTTGGGCTATGGCTAAACCTCTTCACAGAAACCATTTTCAGACTTTCTATCTTACCCAGGACCGGAACATTGTTACTAGAACTTTGTTTCAGACTTACAGCCCAACACACACAAAAAAATAAATTCTAGCAATTAAAGTTTAACAGCTTGGTTTATCTCCTCTACAATACTTTGGCAGTTGCAAAAAGTTCTTTTCAGAACTTGCCAAGATGTGGGAACAGCTATTTCTGAGCATGATATTAAACTGAGAGCTTGTGTCCCATTAGGAGTGGATTGCACCGAGCAGGTTTTTGTAGGCAAGTGGTTAAGCAGCTCAGTCTTACTCGGGGATGGTTTGAAAGGCAATTGCTGATTTTCAGCAATGCAGGAGAAATAATCAATGTTACCCAAATCCAGAAAAGCCTCTTGCCAAGGGTGTCCCCTGAGGTCACCAAGGCTCCTGTGGATTAAGACGAGCAACAGAACAAATCCACAGATTAGCAGAGGAGAAAAGTTGAACAGAAA